TTCTACTTTTGGGGGGGTGTGTAACGGGGAACAGAAAATACTTAAAACATTTGCATTGTTATTTTTTAAAAGAACATAGAAGAATTAAATATACTGCGGTTCTAAAAACACATAGCAAGTGAATCATTGTGGTTTTACTGGGATCAGAATAAAGCTAAGTACCTTAAATTGAATGACTAGAAATCGAGTTTAAAGCCAAAAGAGAAATAAAAGACTAGATCTAAAAGGTACTGCAGATTGTTATTTATGTTTCTGAAGTGAATTCAAAGTTATATGACGCATGTTCATTTTCTATAATCTTCTCATTTTAAAATATACTCCACAAAATATTAAATATTTAAATATTAAAATTATTAAGACATACTCCACAAAAGTTTTTAAAACTTTCAGGTTACACTCCATTATCCCAGAATTTTCTACTCAGCTTGGTATGTGTTTAATCTTTTCATCAGTCTGTTCCTCATTTTCCTCAATTCTAAGTGAGTCTTCATTTCTATTTTCCAAAATTTCTCTCCCCGATATCTTCAAACCAGTTCTAACACAGGCACCTGTACCCATCAACTTTTTCTAAGACATTTATTCCTTATTTACTTTACTTTTATCACTGTCTTTTGGTTCACTAGAAAAGCAATAAAACTTTGAACTTCTAAATTAGATTTTGTGGAAGGAAATTCACAGAATACGTGTTTAGCTTCTACAAAAGAAACACACATCTGCAACCCAGTTCATTTTAAATACGTCTTGCTGCAGAGGACCAAGGTCATGTGTACTTTCCAGCTCTAGTTCCAGCTGGCATTAAATGTCACAAAGCAGTATTGTCCATAATCACTCAATTCCAGTGAATTAACCAATTAAAGCAATAATAGAATAATGTGGTTGAGAATAAATTCTCTAAGTTACATATGGCTCTGCCTTTGAGTCCAGTACATCTGAACCATTCCAGCAGATGAGGCTTCTAAGGAGGTAGGTGCTATCCTCTCTCAGTATGTGAGGCAATGTGAAATATGGGGAAAATCATTAGCACAGAGATTCCCAGAGTATTTCCCTGATACCAGTCATGGCTCAGCTCCACTGACCAGTGGGAAAGGGACAAGATCCCTGATTCTCTATGAACAGCCATTTGCCTAGTTCCTCCCACGAGGCTCCTTTGCCCAGCTATGAACAAGGCTTCGGCTAACAGTTGAAGTTGCTTGTTACCTTGAATAATGAAATAGATGGGAAGAGGACATAGAATTGATGTGAAAATAAAGGCTCAAAAGGAGGGCCAAAGAGAGAGAACAGATTTCCCATCAACAGCAAGATTGAATCACATTGCAGAACCAGCTAGACTAGTGATAACAAAGATATTTCAGTGGCTGGGGTGACAGAAGGTCACCAGAAGAGAGATCTGTGTAGTGAGAGAACTGGAAGAGGGTGAGTCCTACCTACTCAGGGGAGCATGCAATTGACAGCAGGATTGGAATGATAAAATTTGGCTTTTTTATCTTGTGTCTAGGTAGCAAGTACAGGGATTTGCTCCCAACCAGTGGGAAAACGATATTAAAAGATCATAATGGAGTGGTAAATATCAGTGATAAGAACACCATCTTCCACATGTGGGACCGCCTGTCATTGAGTGACAATACCAATGGCAAGTGGGAAGGTGGGGAACTAGCAAGTGTGGCCTATGTTCCTTGGCCCTCAAGTCTCTCATATGTATGGGTGGTAGTACTTAGCTTTCACACTACCTTTTAGGAAATTATTTGACAACTCTAAGCATGTCTAGTTTGAGTTTCTTCCTTCCATTTTATGCACAGAATGGCAACTAAGGCCAACTGTCTCAGACTCTCCTCCAAAAACTTATAAAAAAAAATTCTGATACCTCTGGTGCACCTGCCATGAGTTAGCCCTGGTTATGATCCAAGCAGAAAATATGAGTGTATACTTAAAAAAAGAAGAGAAGAAGTTCGCACTTCCTAGTTGCAATTTTCTCAAATCTTAAAATACCACTACTCCATAAACAAGCAAAAGCTGCAATTGAAAAGCAAGGAGGCAAATTAGGTCATGTCACTCTATGCATCTGTGTTTGGGGATTTTGGTCTAAAACTGAACACAATATTCTCTGACTAAGCAGGGCAGGCTTAAAGAACAGGAAATAATATACAAGTATCTGGTTCAACAAAACAGAGGAGACTTCACTGTTCATTATAGATGAACCCAGGACTTGGAGGTAGCGATATGCTGCCTGGTGGTTTTAGTAATAAAAGCTACTGCCATAGACCTTTAAACAATTGAATCAATCTAGCTATTTTCATAGAACCTCAAAGTTTTAGAAGGTAACTAAGATATCATTCAATTCCCTTCCTCAACCTTTTTCACAGATGAGAAAATTAAGGCCCAGAGAATTAAAATGACTTGCCCAGGGTGAATCAGTCAAGATTCTGAGTTGCAAGCAACAGAAATTTACTTTGGCTGAGTGAAGCAGACAATGAACTTACTTAAAGGATATTGGTTAATACAAAGCATCCCTAGAAATGCTGTCCTTAGAATTAAAACCAAGCAGACAGAAATGATACCCAAAACTCTGGCTGTGAGCTGGTTCTGATGTAGAAACCACGGCTGCTGTAGCCATGTCCCCTGAAGAGAACTCCCTGCCCATAATCTGGTGTCACTAGTTCCTGAGACAGGCTAATGGCTGAAGCCTAGAGTCCAGACTATTCTCTAGCTGCAGGGCAATCCTGGGAAATGAATGACTAGTCTTTTCAGTAGCTTTTAAATTAAGAGGTGCATTGCTCCTTCCCCCACTCCCCAGTAGGAAACAGAACGTTGGAAATTCCTCAGACATGGCAGGGGTTCAACCTCTGGCAGCCAACATAAATAACAAATGTAGACTATGTGAAACCTCTCGGTGGGCTAATGGCAAAACCGTGATTGACCTCTAGTCGGAAATTGTTTTTTATTATTAATTAGCTCTGAACTAACACTCCTTTCTTTCAACAAGTATATATTAAGCACTTACCATGTTTGAGGCATTGCGTTAGGTCCTGGGGACACAAAGTCAACCAAAAGACATGATTGTTACCCCTGTGGGCCATACTGACTAGTGGTAAAGATGGGCATTGAACAAATAATCAAAAAATAAATATGTAGTTGTAAGTTAATTAAAATTTATGACAAGTTCCAAGAAGGAAATGTAAAGGTTGCAGTAAAACATTATAATGGGAGGACTTGAATTCAATTTTGGAAATGCATCTCTGGGAAGTGACATGTAAGTCAAGAACAGCTAAGAAGAACAGAGAAAAGTAATTTATTAATTGTTTTGTAGTTGTTTTTAAAGCAATACAGCTCAGCTTTCCCACAAACTGCCCTTAGAATCCACACAGGGGGGTCCTTTGAATCTGAACCCTCAGCAATAAATAACATCATATGAGCAATAAAGGAGAAGAGTCATTTGAGGGAAGCACAGCTTTATGTTAGAGTTTTTTAAAAGGCTTCACAAACAACGTGATAGAGCCAAGCAAAACAAAATGTCCCGACAGGGATAAAAGGAACTGAGGCACTCCAGCCAGGGATCAGAGGACTTCTTAACATTAATTGATGTAATTAGACTAACTTAGTTTATTCAATCATGTTTCATTCAAGAGCTCTTGACTGAGCATCTAGCAGGTGCCAGGCTGTAGGCGGCAGGGGCAGGGAGGACCTGCGGCAGGGGCAGGGAGGACCTGCATCACGTGACCTCGCCTCTGGTCTGGAGGGAACTGTGTTGCTAACAGTCTCTGGGTCCAGTGGTCTCCAACGTGGGCTGTGAGGACACTTGAGGGTGAAATATCAATCAGTGTGACTGACTGGGATATAGGAAGAAACAATTAGAATTTCAATCTACATTTATTTTATCTTTAAAATATAAGATAAAAATTAGGGTGTGTTAATATTTAACTCACAGTTTGATGGTTTTATGTGTTTATCATTTATATTGAGGATATGTTCTGGAAAATATATTTTAGATATGGGGTGAGATACGAAAGCATGAATACCACTTCAGGGATTCCAAGAGACATAATAAGGAAAAAGGAGAAACTATGGTTTAACACCTACTATGTACCAGATGACAGAATAACATGTTTTATTTCACTGTATTTCCATGGTAACCTACTGAGATAGATGTTATTATTTCTGTTACACGAGTGAGGAAATAGAGATTCAAAGAAGTGAAGTATCTAGCTCTGGGTCCCAAACCTGGCAAGCGTTGACGATGGGATTAAAACCTTTGTCTATCGTTGTAACAGGCTGAACAGAAGTGACTCCATTTTGTTAAATTTCTAAATTAAATAGTTTTTTTTCTTTACTCTTGCAACCTGAACTGCATAGCTTGCAGCTGGACATTAGAATACAATGATTCTTGTTCACATGATCGCTAGAACATAATGGCTTTTGCTACACTGTACACAGAATAATTATAGAAGAAATTATTAACCCAGCTGGCCATCCTTTACTAGCTTACTAACTGGATCTTTTTGAGGTTAACAGGAATTGAATCTGTGACTTGACTTCATGAAGGATGGTCACCATGAATCAGCTCCCACCCGAGAAATTCTTTGATGTTTATCTGCAATTTTCCTGCACGTCCCTGCTTAGATCACCATGAATCAGCCCCCACCCGAGAAATTCTTTGATGTTTATCTGCAATTTTCCTGCACGTCCCTGCTTAGATCACCATGAATCAGCCCCCACCCGAGAAATTCTTTGATGTTTATCTGCAATTTTCCTGCACGTCCCTGCTTAGATCACCATGAATCAGCCCCTTCCCACCTGTCCCTATAAAAATCCTTTGGCAAGTTTGGGAAAAGCAGAGATGGTCTTTGAGACATGAGTTCATCATTTCCCGAGGCTGTAGGCTTCCTGATTAGAAACTAACTTTCCTTACACCAACCCTTGTCTCTCAATTATTCGCTATTGAGTGGCAAGCAAACGGACCTTTGGGGTTTCAGTAACACTGTCAAATAGTGTGTTCTTTTCCTTACCCCACAATATCTGAAGAACTGCCAACTCTGAAACTAGCATTTGCCAAGGGATTCAACCCCTGCTCTTGTGTTAAGACCAGCTTCCCATCAGAAAGCATATGTGGTAAACTTTTACTCTGTAAACAATTTGAGTCGTAGAATATCCCTAATGATGCCCACCAAAGTCTGATGCAAAACAGTAGTACTGTGAGGCATTGTATGATTCATAAAAGTTATGCTTATTATTAAGATTCACTAATACTTAATAGAGAAAATAAGCCCCCAGTGGATCCATTATACAAATTTGGTAGATATTAAAAATGTAGAGGTGTGTGTATGTATATTTATGAGAGAGAGAGAGAAGCAGAGACAGAGACAGGGACAGAGACAGGCACAGAGGTGAGAGATACTACAAAAGCCTAGAAAAGCAGTAACAAAGTTAGGAAGTACATTAACAGTGGAGATTTTAAGTTGTCCCGGTTGCCAGCATTCCCTATCCTCTTCCTAACTGATCAGAAAACACATCTATACATTATTACTGCAGTTACCTTGGTCAGTTTCATTTCTAGCACGTGGCTGCCATGGATCCGACTGTCAAAATGAGCTACTTCTTTGAAAGAGGACTTAACCTTTGCAATGATCTTCACATAGGAGAACACGATCACAGCCGTTGGGAGTAAGAGGCAGAAGAAGAGAATGTTCAGGATGAAAATCTGGCCCCCTACCGAGGCCTGGGCCAGCCACCAGTCCAGGGTGCAGGAGGTGCCGAAGGGCTCAGGTGCATAGTCCCCCAGACCCACTAAGGGCATGGTGGTCCAGAAGGCGGCATAGGCCCAGATGACTGCCAGGCAGATGAAGGCGTGCTTTCTTTTCAGCCAAACCCCTGGAGGTAGAAGAAAAGCATTACCCTGATGTAATCTGCCCTACACCCAAATACCTCCCCTCAATACGTCAAATTCCACCTCCAAAGATTTATTCCATTGAATCTGGGAGACGTGGGCAGACAACTGAAGCCTGAGGGAGAGTGGGGTGAAAGGGGGGAGTTCCAGAGCTTGGGCCTCTCTCCAGGAGAATAAAATTTGAAGAGATTTCACAAGGAAGTTTTTTGCTAGACATCTGGGAGAAGTGACAAAAGCTGGGAAAAGGGGACAGTAAAAAGATAAGAGAATGCTGAAGACAATGGAAGATCTAAGGAAAACATCTCAAAAGCACGTGTTAGTGGGTCATCCGAGGGAGAATCCTTCCGGGGAGATGAAAAATCACAAAACACTGCTTGTGTCTTTAAAATACCCTTCTTCCTAAAATCTTTTGTGTCTCTAATCTCATTTGTCTTCCCAAGAACTTGCTGAGTGGGGGCTGGTGGATCGTGACCGTGACACTACAGTGTGAGATGAAAGTGGTTGACTGTGCTTGGTGATTTGTGGAGCAGATTTTGAATCTTCAAATGTTATTCACACAGCAGTCACGCTCACACAGCCATAGTGGGAGAGGCCGAGAATCTAAGCAGGTTGCGTCATATTCTGCAAAGGTAATTCTGTGAAAATATTTTCAGGAAGACAAAAAATGAGCTCTGTTCTTAAGCACTGGTTTCTGTTAACCAAAAGAAAATTCCAAGAGGAAGAAACAGTGCAAGGCATCTAAGAAAAGGTATAAAGCACTAGTGATCATTTTCCAAATTTCAACACAACTACCAATGACAGATCAGCCTGATCTGGTGCTGTGGCCTCCACGGGGAATGATCTCTACACCTCAATTATCACCTCCAATGAAGAGGGCCAGGGAAATGACACCTGACTGCTTAGGTTTTGCAGTAGCAGAGAAGAAATATCAAAATATATTCCATAAATGCTAAATGATTTCTTCTACATAAACTCAGAGCCTGCTTTACTTAGTGCAGTGTGAGGTTTGGGAAGACAGTAAGGCCTAATTCTTCTAGTTCTAGTATTTGACCTTGTCATATAATCTTTTTACACATCTGGTGTTCTTAGCAGTAGAGTGGAGGAAATAATATATTGCTTACAAGTTTTGGTAAGGGTTGAATGAAATAATGTAAGGGTCTTGCTTTGCAAACTGTGAAGCATGACATTAACATGAATTTTTCCTCTTGTGTAAGTTTGTCTCATTTAGTGCTAACAAGAAATATAACACATAGTTTCTATGCTCTATTGTCTCCATTTTTTCCAAATACATGGCATTTTGCATCACGAAATGCAAATTTCTCAAGCCCAGCAAGATAGGGGTAGCAATCATACAGCCACAGCATATGTTACCTTTTGACTATCCATTGTAATGAATAAAACACTGGCACAGATAATTACATATATTTATGGGAATGTGCATAGTCATACGTATAAGCATTTATGGTTAAGATTACTTGGTGAGGTGTTTTATACTTACGTTCGAGTATGGTGAAAGGCTGTCAATACAGGAGAGAGTAGATTAGTAGATTGGTTCTGTGTTGCTCCAGAAGTCAGAACTAGGACCAATGGGTGGAGGTTACTGGGAGGCAGTTTTGTCTTAATATAAGGAATAACATTGTAACAATGCGTGCAGACCAATCAGAGAATGGGCTGCCTTGTGCAGTAGTAAGCTCCCCGTCACTGGTCACTGGAATTATGCAAGAAGAGGCCAAGTGGTTGTCCCTCAGGGATTCCTTAAAACAGTTTACCACATTCATGGGAGAAAGGTCTACATGTCCCCAAGTGACCTTCTAATTCCAATATTCTTGGACATCATGTGGAGGGTTTAATAGTGCATCAGATTAAATGATGAAACCATACTATTGAGGTTCAACCTTAGAAGAAGCTGAAAAATATACATACTTTCCATATGGAGTTACGCTCTGCAATGATTCTAGGGTAGGTAACATCATCTCTTTAATTGACACAAAGCCTAAACTCAAGAAAATATTCAAAAACAGAGACATCAAGGTTTAGTATTCCTTAAATGCTCTCAGGAAGCTAAACTTTTTGTCTTCTCGTCTGTAAAATCTATAGTTAAATTTAAAATCTACTTGGTATGACCAGAAATAAGTTTATAGAAAGAATTAGACTCTGATGTCATCCAGGGTATGTATAATTATTTATTTTTATTCAAGCTATTTCTATTGGAAGTTTTAAACATTTCAAGAAAGAGGTGAAAAATATTTTTTAAATGAGTGCTAGATCATGAACATGGTGGTTCACGACCCTTATCCCCTTATGTGATTTCCTTGGGGTTTGGGAACTGTAAAACTTTAAAACATAGAGGGAAATTCTACCAATTGAGAATGTCAGGTCGACTTGGTCTTTCCCACCTCAGTCTCCAGGCAGTTTTATTCAGAGGGAATCAATACTATTCCCTGGTTGTGCTTGGTTCTCAGTATTAAAATTAAAAACCCAAATGATTCTCTTTCAGGTTCCATAAATTCTCAGAACCCCAAAAAGTAAAAGTGCTAAAAATTATGTTTAAGCAGTAGAATACTCTACTCATTAAAAAAAAACAAAACAGGCTCTGAGATCTTGTTTATTTCTGACCCACTCCTCACCCGTTATTTTAGTCACTCATCTTACTACCTTCCAATACAGTAAAAAAAATTTTGAGCAATTTTTCTGTATGAACATCCTTTCATGCAGGAACAGTGCAAGGCTTGGGACCTTGGAGTCGAAATTTTTAGAATTCCTCATCTCTGAAATCATAGGAAGCCTGAGTCCTAAAAGAATTATAAACAGCTTTCTTATAATTACACTTAGCATGTGAGGAATCAGCTAAACGTCTTGTACCTAACATCTTTTCAATGCATTTTATTTCTTTTGTTTGTATGGCAAAGCATGGTAGAAGTTTGCACACTTTCCACAAGAACGTAATAATTTTTAAAAGCATTGTAGCCAAACACCAGACATTACTATAAAAGTAATATTAAAAGAAACTTACATTGACATAGGTTCAAATACTTAAATGTATGTTAGAACAAGATAGGCTAAAGCAGAAATACTCTTGATGTCTGAGGTCATTGATAATCTTTGTTTATTGCCTGTGTATACAATATGTACAGCTCTGACACTCAATCCACCTAACTTTGACTATCAGGGAATGAGAAACCTTCCAACTTACCATAAGATAAATGGCAGATTTTTAGGTATCGATCCAGACTAACAGCAGTCATGGTGATAAGACTTCCACAGCCAAAGAAAAATCCAGCCCATCCGTACCAGCGGCAGCCAATCCAGCCAAACACCCAGCGGTGACAGAAGCAAGAGATGATAGTGAATGGCTTACCTACAACTAGAGCACCAAGAAAGTTGTCAAGAAAAGTTCCCTCCAGTTAAAATGTCCCCACCTATCCCAGCTTGCCTGACCCTTCCTCTCCAAAGCTCAGAGGGATGTGTAAACACACACACACATACACACACACACAAACACTCACATGCACACCCCTTTCATTACACAGAATTTGTAGGTTAATGCAATTCTAGCAGTTATCTTTAAAGAAACTGAGTTTGAAGCTACTTAGAGAGATTTGCAGTTATCTCAATAGACAAAGACAGTGAAAGGATGTAGAAGGACTTTTAAAAAGTAATTATTACGGGCCGGCCCCGTGCCACACTCAGAGAGTGCGGCACTGGGAGCGCAGCGACGCTCCCGCCGCAGGTTCAGATCCTATATAGGAATGGCCAATGCGCTCACTGGCTGAGCGCGGTGTGGGCGACACCACACCAAGGGTTGCGATCCCCTTACCGGTCACAAAAAAGAAAAAAAAAAAAGAACTGTCTTGAGGAGACTCAGCTTCAGGGAGTATAGGAGATGTGAATTCTGTGGACTATGACAGCAATCTGGTCACCTTTAGTGTTTTATCAAAGTGGTTCAATTGCAAACTAATAGAAAAGGGCTATATCCCCACAGGGAAATCTCTGAGAGAAAATTTGCTCTTCAAGCATAAATTTTCCACACTGATCTCTTCCACTAGAGTGTCCATGACTCTACTATTTTTCCTCTCTCCAAAGTTAGACATTCAAGCATGAGAAAGAAAAAAGTATTCATGGGAATGAGGTTTTGTACAATGCATTTCAGCATTCATTCAGTCTCAGCAATGATTCCATGAGTTTGTCTCCAAAACAAATGTATGAACAAAAATAGTTACATAATCAAATAATACTAGGCAAGGTCACATACTATAACACAACTTTTTGACCATCAATATTCAAGAGTCTAAAAATTTCCAATACTCAGAAAAATAACTAACTTCGTGTTCCATAACATTGTCCAAATGTATTTCACTACAGAACCCTGCATACATTACATAAACTATTCTTTAAGAAATGATACTCCACAGATTACAAACTACAGTCTATTTGACTAGGAAGAATTCCTTAAAATAAGACATAGGTTCTAACTAAGGAGTCATTTGATGCAAGGAATTCTTAACTATGTGGGTACTATATAAACATCCAATTAGAATAGCTGCTTGAGGGCCAGCCCGGTGGCGCACTGCTACATGCGCCGCTTGGGAGCGGTTCTAACTAAGGAGTCATTTGATGCAAGGAATTCTTAACTATGTGGGTACTATATAAACATCCAATTAGAATAGCTGCTTGAGGGCCGGCCCGGTGGCGCACTGCTACAGTGCGCCGCTTGGGAGCGCGGCGGCGCTCCCGCCAAGGGTTTGGATCCCACATACGGACTGGCCGCTCACTGGCTGAGCGAGGTGCGGGTGCGACACTGAGGGTTGCGATCCGTTGCCGGTCACGAAAAAAGACAAAAAGGAAAAAAAAAAAGAATAGCTGCTTGAGTCTGATAACTCAAAGACTGATGATAGACTAGTTAAACTCGTGATCTACTAATAATTACAGCATTTAAACTCATTTGGTTTTTTTTCTTACTGTATTACAATGTCTAGGATTTCCAGTACAATGTTGAATAGAAGTGATCACAGTAGGCATCCATGTCTTGTGGCTAATTTTTAAAGAATTTTTTTAATGTTTCATCATTGAGTATAACATTTTTGCTCCCTTTTATCAGACAAAATTCTATTCTTAAGAATTTTTTTTTAATCAGAAATAGACATTAAGTTTTATTGAATGCTTTTTCTGCATCTACTGAGATGATGCAGACTTGGAGCATTTTAGAATCTGACTATATAGGATATGAGATTCCTATACTGAAAAAGGGAACTTAGTTTTAACACCCCCAGGTAACCTTGTTTTTTAGGAATTAAGTGTCTGTAAAAGGGGTTGGAAGGGGAAGGAGAAAGGTTTTCTATGGGAGAAAGCCTTAATTAGAGAAGCAGCAGGAACTAACAGCTGTGAACTCAGAAGAGGAGGAGTTTGAATGGCACGCTGGAAAATAAAGGTTATGAAGTGCACTGGAGGAGGAAGGTGTGAATTCCACACATATTTTTAAGAATAGTGTGTATAACATTTTAGAAAATTTGAATTTGTCCTTTCATATTATTAATTAAAAGTTATATGTATACAATATATTTAGTCTTTCACTATTTCGTTGTTGTTATTATCGATGAATAAAAAGTACTTAAGAAACTCCAGCAAGCTGAACATTCAAAAGAAGCAATAGGATGGGGGAGCTAAAAAGGTGAAAGAAAACTAGAGTCGGAAAAGACCTCAATAATCATACAGTCCAGCATTTTTTAATGCTCCTGCTTAGAGTCCTGGGGGGTCTATGGAGCTCCTCTAAGACTTATCAGCGTGCAAACGTGAACGTGTGTGTGGAACTAGGTAGGTGTGTGTGTGTGTGTGTGTGTGTGTGTGTGTGTGTGTGTGTGTGTGTGTGTGTTGTAGGGGAACTAGGTAGGTCATGCAGGGTAAGAGATATTAAGCAACTTACACTCCATTCTCCACCCTCTTTCAATCAGGGGAGATTTTTTTTTTTTTGTCTGTTTTATATATTCAGCTTCTAAGTCACGTTCTTTTTCAAAGAAAGAATTTAGTGTTTAAAAATTGTGTAAGAATAATTTATTAAATTTCATCATTTTAAAGTTGGAACCAGATTTCTTCTGTTTTAGTTTTTTGTTTGCTTGTTTTCTTTTTTCCTTTTTCTGTTGAGTTAGTCTTATTCAAACACGAGATAGCTATTTCAGTAAATGTTAGGCTCAATCTGTTTCCAGCCAGACTCAGATTTCTGGTATTTCAACTGTTTATGCCTTGGACCTCCATTAGGTTTTTAAAAAAACTTTCTAGAAAGCATTCTGCTACTTTTATTTCATACCTTGCAGACCTCTCTATTCAGTCATCGTATTCAACCTTTCCCCCTCTCTGAAAGGAATGTGCTGAAGAAGCTCTTCAAAGCCTCTATCTGATGTACATATCAAAAGAAGCTTCCCTAACCTTATTGCATTAGGAAAACCAAGTTTTTAACTGACAATCTCCGCCTGCAGGTGCTAGCTCCCATCCCTCCCATCCCTCCCCGGTGAGCCCCCTCCTTGGTTTACAAAGGTTCGCAGGAGTAGCTGTTAGTTCAGTCAGTTAACACACATTTATTGAGCACCTCTGTAAGCTGGACATACATCTCCTCTGGATATATGTGACTTGCTAGACTGAG